GTTGTAATGTGACAAAATATGGAAAAGTTCAAGGGGTATGAAAACTTTTGCAAACCACTGTATTAAATGGGCAGACATTAAACAGAAAACAATCACGAAGTCTGTTGGATGTGGCCCGCCTGTTATTGGCTGCCATGCAATGTTATACTGTCAGCTAACATCATGTGATAATGGACAACCAATCATAACCTGTCTCATCCTGATACGTGAAAATAGGTCAACGTGATGATGACGTCCAGAGGGTATCACAAGATATGAACAGTGGACAGTGTCAAGGTGATATAGACATAATTATTCCACAACAGTGTATATTTCAAATATCTTCTCTAATCTCTCTTTCATTCTTCCCCATTACATTTCTCCATTTTCTTTTTCTTCTTCTCTTTTATTAAAAAAAAGTCACTAATGTCAACTAATATTCAGTTCTGTTTTCTACTGAAGTGGCTAAAAAAGATGGTAAATGGACTGTACTTATATAGCGCCTTTCTATCCATGCAGGACACTCAAAGCACTTCACACWACAATCTGTGTCCTCATTTACTCGTTCACACTGTTAGGTCTCTACAAAGCTAACATATACAATCATCTAAGGAGACTAATCAGTGTCACTCACATTCATACACTGATGGGACACACATCAGAGGCATTAGGGRTGAAGTGTCTTGGACAAAACAACTGAGACAGTTGGATGGGGGATSGAGCCGGTGACCTTCCAGTTCCAGGATGACTCCCCTAACCACTCTGCCACAGCCGYCCCGAAGAAGAAGAAACCCAAGAAGCAGAAGGTCTCTGCCAGTTTATTGAACACTCTTAGTCAGTAGATGTCCAGCATTTTCTCCAAGTTCTTGCCTGGTTTCATGGTGATGACCCCACGCCTGTTTCTTGGTTCACCTGATCTCCCTGCCCCTTGCCCGATTCTGTTTGTCCCTCTGACCTCTGGATTTTGACCTTGTTTCTGCTTACCGGACCTCAAATTCAGGTTCTCTCTCTGGATTTATCTTTGGCTCTCTGCTTTCCTGTGCATGACCCTTGCTTTCCTCCTGGAACCACAAGTTAAGTCTGTTTCAGTTTTGGACCTCTGCACAGGATTAAAGGCCTCGCTCACCTACAGTTTGCCCACCACTCACCAAGGCATCACTGTCAGCAACAATAGTGCTCCTATCTACATCAAAAGGATTTTCAGCTCTGGACTCAGTTCTCCTCTCCCTTCTGAGAAGGTTGGTGGCAAATTATTTCAATCTCAACCATTCCTCATAGTCTGTCCCAGCCACTCACCTGTTCTCTCTTTTCCAGAGTGTTCCTGCCTGAAATCCCTGATCCTCTTAAGTTATTTTATTATAATAAATCCTATAGAACGACACACATCAATAGCACATTTGAGGGTGTGTGTGTGTGTGTCGGGGTCTTCTTATATTTATTTATTTATTTCTCACTCCCGTTTCCCGACGGACGTCTGGGGGTGGGGCCCTGGTTGGGGCACACCGCCGGGTGGGGGCCTGGACTGATGGTGGACTGGGAGCTTGGGGGGGGGCGCGGGGGTCGGGCTTGCGCTCTGGCTTCCCTGGAGCAGCTTGGACTCCCGGGATGTGGCTCCTGGTTGGCATGGTTGGCCTGCTGGCGGTGTGGTCGCCAGGCTCTGGCGGGTGCCGGCTGGGGGTGTATCCCTGGCCTTTGGCGGTGGTTGGGGGATAGTCAGGGCATGGCCTTGCTGGGGCGGGGGTGGCTGGTCGGGTCAGCGTGGTCCAGGCCGGGCTTGGCCATCTGCTCCTCTCCACCCCAGAACAAATGGGTTTACCTCCTGGGTTCAGGTGTGGGCCACCCTCTGCGGGGGGCGGGGGCATACCCTGRACCTGGGGGGTATAAAGTGTGTATCGGGAGTGTGGTGTCTATATTATATGTGTTTGAATGAGTGGGAGCGAGGATGAGGGTGGGATTCTATGATTGTGTTTGTGTATGCATGGGTGTGTGTCAGGCAGGGACGTGGACTTCCCCCTCCCCTGGTTCGTTTGTCGCCCCCATCCCATACTGCCCTCTGGTGGGGGTGCCTTGCCTGCCGGCGTGCGGATGGCTCTTGGGGTCTGGGGCTGGGTGCTCGGGTGTGTGCTGGCTCGGCCTGGTGGCTGCCTGTCGGGGTTTAGGTCCTCTGGCCCTGTCGGGTCTCGGCTTGGGGAGGGATGGGGGGCGCCCTGGGGGCCAGGCCCTCTGTGCCCATGCCCGTGCTTTCCCTGGTGCAGCGGGTGCTGATGGGGCCCTGCGTGCTCGTCGCTGCGGGCCATTGTGGGGCTGCTGCGTGTGGTCACTGGTGGGGTTCTCCCGGGTCTCCCCTRTGGTTTGACCTGGGGGTGTGTGTGCGGCTCTCCTCACATGGGTGTACCTGGGGGCCTGATGCTTGGGGTTCCTCCTGGGGTCTTTGGCTCTGGCCTCCCCTTATGTCTGCCTTGTGCCTCGGGGGTCGGCTCTGAGACTCCCCCACAGTCACTATTATACATTCCGTTGGAGAAATCCTGTAAATTTATGCTTGCTCACAACCGCACGCAGACAGGTGTTCAGATCCAAGGGGTTCTGAATGATCACCAGGTACAGTATATGGGTGGGTGTTTGTTTATCTGTCTAAATGTATATATGTGTGCTTTTGCTAAGTTTTGTAAACTTTATTCTTTGCAGGTGTGCAGACAGATGTTGGATGTATTGTATTGTTTTCTTGACATATATGTCCAATTCTTTCTTTCACTTTTTTCCATTACATTGTAACCTTTTCTTTCCTTTCCTTCTTTTTTCTCTTTCTTCTTCTTTCTTGTCTATCTAAAAAAAAGCCACTGATGATAAAGAAGCTAAGATTCTAATATTCAGATATTCAGTACTGCTT